TATATATATAATATATATATATATATATATATCTGTAATACTTGCAGCTACCACATGCGTCTCTGCGTAAACACAGTGTTCATGCATATGCCAAGAGGTTGCATGCGTACGAAGCGCATAATGTGTTGTGTATAAGCCATCAGCATTGGTTCATGCATCCTCATATCTACACCTAGCATCGTTCATGGATCCTCATATCTATACTCTATAGACTATATATGTATTTGTATATAGGATGTAGATACTTATGCGTACATGCAAAATGGCAGTCGTGCGATCCTGCCCGCATGGATTGTAGGCATGTCAGTACGGTAAACAGTAAACAGCTGAAGCTCCTTAATTTATACAGCACGGAGTGTCCAAATACCTGGTTTCTGTTAATTCAGCAATCTCCGAATTGGCGGCTAATGGACGGACCCGATGCTGCGGTATATTTCTTAAAGTGTTCGAAGACATGCGAAGACATGGCCACGTGCCAAACGGAGAACAGTTTAGTTACTTTCGACGACGCAGGTATGACCCAATCTACTGATGGATCCTCTGAGATCATCTGCAGTGGTTGGCGGGTAGCAGGGGCCCCGTGCGGCTTCTCTGCTGCTGTTCTGAAGCAGCTCCCAACTGCAGCAGCAGCAGCTGCCGCTGTTGCTGCTGCTGCGGCGCAAAGGGTAACTGCAACTGCTGCTGCTGCGGAGCTGGAGCAGACACAGATACCTGCATCCAGGGACCTGGTTGCTGCAGCAGCAGCTCGTGAAGCAGAAAATGATGAAATTTGATGACGCATTATAATGTTGCATTCCATAGAACCTTGCCATACGGTGTACTTTTCCGTATTGACTTGCACATCGTCATCGTGTATGCCATCTTACTACGCTCGGTTATGCACAAATATCGTGTTTTATCAAGCATACCTGCCGATGCATCGAGTAGGAGACATGTTTGTCTGCTGTCTGATATCGGAACGGCAACAACTGCCACCCAGCTCGCCCCCACACAACTGCGGTATCCTTCATCCTTGTTTCTTGAGTTTCTTTTCAGAGTTATTTCAGGCAAATGATGGCAATAATGGGAATAATATCTACAAATAGTAATAATTGTAGTGGGAATAATTCGGACCAGTGTGGGGGATAATGTAATATTTCGGGTAACTAGTGTAACAGTATATGCAGATATTGATAATTATGGTTGTAAGAACCAATGATAATTCCACTAATAGTATGGACATACAATAATAATAACAATCGTATTAGCACAAAACAAGTTCAACCACTGCACGTGCCACATGACGTGTTGAGCAGTAATACAGGCACACCAGATGCTGTTCAGGCGCAGGCGATAGTGCCGACGAGTAAAAACACGAATTAGCATGAAAAACATATAACTGTGTGACTAAGCATAAATCACTAGATGTGTATACTTGATTAGCTGCGGTTCTGACAGCAAACCTGAAAGTGAACACCACTTTGAACCAGCTACACAGGACGGGGAATAAAAGAGCGTATCTTTAAGGTCCCATTGCACCGAAACTTGAAAGAAAATGTCTATAAAACATTACCAATGACTTTTTAAATTGATTAAAGTTGATGGGCTTCGCCTAATTAATTGCTGTTGGTTAAATGAGCGGCTACACATAGATGGGGGGTGGTTGGTATGGGGGGGGAGTGGCGTCAGCAGCCGATCTGCAATTCTTCGTGGGCGAAGTTGTTGTTTTTGTCTGTTTTTTGTGCTTATATTGGAGCACATATATCAAAATTGAACTATTGATGAGCAAGCATAGCGACGTTTTTGGCGCCTTCTGCAGGCCTTGGGGGCACCGGCATGGTCGTTCATCATAGCCTTCGGCAGCTGCGGAGACACCGGACTCAACTGCATCGTTTTTCAGTCCCCTTGGATCCTAATAATAAGTTCAAATATCTTTTTCCATGGCAGTTTTGACTACTTAATCCTTGAAGTTTACTTGCACGCGGCATGTGACTGTCGTTGGGGTACTTGTCTGCGAACACCAGGCACGGGGGTTGGGGCCCTAGGAAGCACACCGACTACAGCAAACATATAAATGTATTGTATACATCATATATACCGGAAATGAACAGGAGGTGGACTCTTTATACACTCCAGTGGCCTGTGTATACGCTATAGGGCCTTGACTTTCCTCCAAAGCCCTCAACCCCCTGTAGTCTACTAGCCGTCTGCAAGCCGCGTATACACCGGAGGGCCCGCTGCATACACCACAGGGCGTCCTACGTACAGCTTGGTGCTGCCTGCATGCACAGACCTTCTGGGGATTTGTTCTTGTTCCAGCCTGTCTGCGAAGATGTACATTCACGAGATCGTTCTTGAGGGGTTCAAGTCCTACTCTTCGAGAGTCATCGTGGGCCCCCTCCACCCTCAGTTCAACGCCATCACTGGCCTCAATGGCACCGGGAAATCCAACATCCTGGATTCCATTTGTTTCGTTCTCGGCATTTCCAACCACTCCCTAGTAAGGCCTCCTCCCGTCCCCCTTGAAACTCGACTCGCTCTTTCAATAATTGTCTTCCTCCTTGTCTTTGTCCTTATGTCCTGCTTTTCTCTGTGTTATTCTGGCTGCAATTTGGCATTATCCCCCTCCCTTTCATCTAATGCAGTTCCAATTTAACCAACAGCACACATCCTACCTCATCTTACACAACCACCACAAAGCAACTCACCCACTGGACATGATGAAGCATCTTAAAATATAAAATAATTACGCGTCTTTACACCTGTATTTCGAAGGACACCCTCTTCATGGCCCTTGAAAGATCCCTTGGAACTCCCTTTGGAGGCCCCGTGGGGGAACCCTTGAAGGCGACAACCCGCTCCCTCAAGCCCATTTGTTCCCGATGGAAAGTGTCTAACTCATTTTAGGTTTGCGTGTTTTCAACTCTTTCAGCTCGTTTTTTACTTGGTATATTTGTTGAATGCAGGTACGGGTGTCTCGGCTTGAAGACTTGGTCTACAAACAAGGACAGGCTGGCGTTCAGAAGGCGACGGTTACGATAAAGCTGAAGAACGACCCTGATGGAGGCAATAATCCGTTGCCGCCTCCTTACAGAGACATGCGAGAGATATCAATAACGAGGCAGATAATCATTGGTGAGAGGGGCCTCGTGTGCATTCAAAAAGAAACGAACAAAAACAACTCGGAAGCGACTGTCTCTCATCAGTAGCACACCTCTCCCGCTCTCCTTTTTCCTCTCTCTCGCTGCCCGTGCACCACGTTTTAAACGGACCTGCACTTGCGTCTGCTATATTCACCTAGATATCTCCATATAAAAACATCGAAATGCATGAGCATGATGTTTTGGCGGCATATGGATGCAGAAACAGTGATGTAGAAGCATAACGATACAGTTGCACAGATATCTATGAAGCTATGCATTTGTATATAACCCACGCAGACACTTCCAGCACCACCGCATCAAAACATCTGCTAGCGGAATGTAAAAATATTCAACCCACATACATATTTCCATGTTTACATAAATTCAAGTGCATATGCAGAAATGCATGCTTTTGCGTTTAGATGCCGCTATACGCAAACCTCCTTGCCGGTGCTGCTTCTGCTTCAGGGGGTAGGGACCGCTATCTTCTAAACAGCCGCATAGCTCAAGTTAAGGAGATCCGCGACTTCTTTCAGTGTTGTCAGTTGAACATCAACAGCCCCCACTTTATGATTCAACAAGGCAAGCAAAGCCCTATGCCCAAAACACTACAGCGGTTTGAGGGGTTTAGGAGGGGACCTCGACTCTCCTCTCCAGAGTAACTCACACTGCTCCTCCCAACAGCACACGATACTTCACGTAATATGGGTGGGGTTTGGGGGGGAAGCAGATACTTTTTCTATATGGGGAGCGGCCAACTGTAACTGCAGCGCATGCGCTACCTTCCGGTGCTAAATTATTTTCATAGGGTGTAATGCCTAAAGTCTTGGGTTTGCGATGCCGTTGCTTGTGAGGAGCGGTGCCTTGCTGTGGAAGCGCCTTTGTGGCTGTGATGCATTCCCCTTGGCTGGGTTAACGCTGCACCTTTTCTATGGCGGCAAAGATCTTATTCTTTGAATTTATTCATTGATGCTTCAATAATCTAGATGGCAAAGCAAGAAAGCAATTAGGGCCCTGCAGGCGACAATTTTGTCTCTATGTATGTTTATACAAGTGCATAAAACAGGCACTAGGCTGTTGCCTGCAGAAACCATGCGTGTGTTGCTGGCGTGTGTGTGGTTAAGGCAAAATAACGAAAGTGATCAACATGAAACCGAAGGAGTTGTTGGGGCTGATTGAGGAGGTCTCTGGCACTCGCATGTATGAAGTTAAGCGCGAAAGCGCGGTGAAGTTGGTGGAAAAGAAGGAACAAAAGTTGCTCGAAATTCAAAACGTCCTGTCAGAGGAAATACAGCCAAATGTTGAAAGACTGCAAAAAGAAAAAACGGAATATCAAAACTACGTCACACTCAAGGAATCGCTGCAGCACTTTCAACGCTTTGAAACCGCATACCGCTATTTCTGGTACTCCATCTCCTTCTCCCTCTATTGTATACACACTTACAGCTCTCCAGCAAGGCACCGTTGAGTTCTACCGACAACTGAGAATCCCCTTAGGTCCCGTTTTGCTCGGCACTGGGTAGCACTAGCGCGTGTACATGCACGCAGCGGTAACACTACACTTGTTTGGCTGCTGCACGGGAGGCACTGTTGAGCTCTGTCTGAGTCTTCGCAGCGCCAAGCAGACTGTGCAGCAAGGCACTGAGGCTTTCGCTGAGCTGCAGAGGCGACGAGCGGAGTTAATCGCTGAACTAGATGAAGCAGATCGGCAGCTCGAGGAGGCACAGAAACAGCTGAAGGCCCTGGAGGCAGCGCGAGCTGAAAAGGATGCGCCGCTCAAGCTGCTGAGACAAAAGAGAGAAGAGCTTGAAAAGGTGCTTCTGTTGATGTGGGCTAGGGTTTAGGGTTATCGCGCGCTTTTTCGTCATTCCCCTGCAAGCGGATCCACTGCACGCCGTTCACCTGTGCGGTTTATATGGTATTGGCCACACCATATATTCATGATTCAGCGTATCAAGAGACCTTAGAATTCCTTGCAGCTAACAGCTTCCACGCAATATCCTACAACGGCTAGGACAGGACTTTGAGGTTCTTCTGTATGTTGTTCACTTCCGTTTGTGAATCTTAACCCACTGTGCTCGGTTGCGTTTGGGCTCATGCGCACTTTTTCTGTGCGTGCAATTGTCCATTTACGTTTTGATTTTAATTTGGTGTTTAGTAGTTGGAGCGTGCAACCCTCCAAAGAAATGTGTTTTCCCCCTGCCTAAACCACGCTATCCTTAATGGGAATACAGATAACAACATGCCAAGCCTCACCTGAGCTATAGTCGGAGACATGGTACTGCTGCATGAATTGATTCTTCAAGGAGCCAGCACAATTGAAACCCAGTAAATTCATGTCTCGATTTCATTCGTGTTTGTTGCTGCTACGCAGGCAGTCTCGCGACTGCAGGCAGACTCGCGAAGCTGCAAACGGGACTTGGAAATGCTGCAGTCTTCTGTGGAGGACCAGCAGAAGGAGGCGGCACGTTTGGAGGCTGCTTTGAAGGACTTTCGGGCAACTCGTTCTGCGGAAGCTGCTCAGGCAGAACAATTGGCAGAAGAAGTTGAGCGTATGCAAAAAGAATTGCAAGAAAGCAACTCCAAGCTTCAGGCCGTCTGCAGCGGAGGGGTGGGCGCCTCAGGCTCCATTCGCGAGGCTCTTAAGACCAGCAGGTCGGAAGAGGCCCGCCTTGAAGCACAGGACTTCTCCCTGAGCCAGGAAATCAACTACTTGAAGACAGAGCTACAGGAACTGGCGGAAAAAGAGAAAAACGCAGGCGCTGTAAGCGGCTTGCAATGACACATACCAATTTTCGAGGAGCTAACATATAACACATGGGGTTTTGGTCTTGAGGTTTGGAGTGTCTTATGGTTTCTTGTTCAGGTGTTAGGGTCTAGAGCTTAGGGTCTTGCACCTGGTGTTGGGTGGTTAGCCTCGCGCGGTGTATATAACTGATACGTGCATATTTGCATACCTGCTCTTCAGCAGATATGCTAATATCCACTTCTTGAGACTTGACGAATTGCTGGTTCTTTTTGTCGGTGTTTCTGCCGAATTCGTCGCAGGAACGAGCTGCATACGAAGCCAACGTAAAGGAACAGAGGGAGCGGGTGCAGCAGCTACGGATGCAGTTGGATGCACTAGGCAACACCGAGTGCTCTGTTGCTGCAATGCAGAAAACTCTCGGCGAGCTGCAAGAGGTGGGGTGTTTGCTGCACGTTCTGTTCAACACGTACGGCTAGACGTGCATACTTTCATAGGCTGGAGCCCTTCGGTTGTACTGCTTTAGAGGCGCCGGTTTGTGTTGTAAGCTCCACTGAGTGAAAAGGCTAGTGGTAGAGCTTCCTTTAAAAAGTGTTGGCCTTCTCACGTTGTGAGGCGGTAAACGAAGCAGCGTCTTCTCTCGCTTTCTCTCTCTATGTGCCTCGGCGTTTTGTTTAGTTTCTGTTTTCGCACAGCAAAGGACAAACCATCACTTTACTCCCCTGACCATCTCCGGGATTTCTTATGTTTGTTTGTTGTGGCTTATGGACTGTTAACTGCTTTGAATCGTTTGTTATTTGACTTACTGCTTGATTTACTATTAACAGTTTTGTATGTCGTGGTAAGGAACTGGCATTTCACTTCTACTGAGCCTGCTGCAGAAATACCGCGTGCTATCGGCGGAAGCTCAGGAGGCCATGCAAGAGCTACGGGCCTGGTGAGTTGTATATTTGAGCATTTAGTCATTTGCGTACCTGCTCAGATGTTTTGGGTGTTGTTTAATTTGGATATTTTGTGTCACCGCTCGACTCCTGTCATCGTTCAAATCGAGTTGTTTGTGCCGTTCCAGTGTTCAGTGTGAATATCTGGTGTTGTCGTTGCTCATAAGGGTCTTGTCTGTTGTTCCGTCGAACGGCATGTTGGCCTTCTCCAGTGTTGAATCTGCGCATTTGATGTGTGTGCTCAAACTAGAAGTTCTGCGTTCCATTTTGATTCGAGTACTTCGAAAAATTGTTTTTTTTTAAAGGTTTCCCGGCAGTTGTTCTAGGGTGGCCAGCATTGTTGTTGTAGAGCAGCCCACTTGCTGCTGCAGCTGCGGACAGCTGATGCAGCAGCGACGTTCAACCTTCTGAATTTCTTGGCCCGTTCAGGGCTAAGATTGACGTGCGGCTTCCCCGAGGCCTTAACCCGGCGCGTCTGCTGGGGCAGCTCTTTGAGTTAGTTTATCTCAAGCAGGAGTACCTTTCCTACAGCAAAGCCATGCAGGTATACATGCACTGCACAAGACATCAGCAGAAAGTAGAGCTACGGTTCGGTGCTGTTGTAAAGGTGAAAGGAACAACTCCTACAGGTCCCCATTTGCTGAACTTTTCACTTCGCATCCTCACCAGCCATGGTTCAAATAGAGTGAACAGCAAAGCCAGTACACCGTCAGCTCATCATCTGGGTGATCAGCTGCTTCATCAGAGGGAGAGGTAGTGCGCCAGCGTTTGCTGGAGCAGCCTGCTGCAGCCTGCTCAGGGTGTCTAAAATTCCCCATTAGAAAATAGAATATTTCGACTGCGAGGGAATTGTAGACACCCTGATCAAGTATCCGCTCTGTCTCATCTTCAGGTACTGGTGGGCGGAAAGCTCGAATACATCATTGTGAGCGACAAAGAAGCGAGTGAGGCCTCGAGATGAACTTTGGTATCGCTGCAACTGCTAGTTTGAAATGCAATTTGACTGGAGTGATTGCTTGCCGTCATTTTTGCTTTTTTCCGACGCCGAAGCAGCAAAGAGTATAGGGTGGTCTCCATATGCTATGTAAATCGAGTACCTCCTGCAGGCAAAGCAATCTTCAAAGAAAACAACTTCGCTAGCGGCAGAAGACGTGTCACCCTCCTCCCCATCTCCGAGTGCGTCGTTGGCAGAGTGTGCGACCAGCAGGTCAGTGACTATTGCAAGTATATTTTGTTTTCGATAGCCATTTAGGCAGTTAGACGTTCTAATTTAAGTTGGTACATTAGGATATTCTGTGGCGAACTTATGAATTGTGGATCTGCTTTTAAGTACAACAAATCAGTTTGTTGATTGCACCCATTGCAACTAGATGAATTTTTGATCACGACAAATGCGGTTATTTCACCAACAAACTAGACTATAGTGCACGTGCTGCATTGCTGTTTGTTTGCTCGTCTGTCATGCAGCTGCGCGTTCACCATATGTTTGACCTGTTAACGCCAGTTTGCTTCATCTTTATGCATTTGCTTCATTAATCACCATCTGTGCACTTTTTGGCTGTGCCAGAATTACCTATTTAATTTGTTCCTACTTTTTGTGCTCCCGCATCTTCTGTTTCTTCTTCCTAGGCTCTTGCGGCCAACCGCCGTCTCGTGGGTCTCGACCCCGAAGACTCAACGGGTGTCTTGCGTTGTCTGGATATGGTGGAGTGAGTCTAAAAACAATTAGGGAAAGATGTAAAAAATGCATGGCAAATAATATAGCCTTTTTGCACCGCCTATGAGTTATCATTTGCAGTGAAATAACGTTAGTTCGTTGACCTGCAAGCCCTTGTAATGCACTGAAGAGCAGTAATCACATTGTTAAAGTGTGTGATGACTAACCACCGGAATGATGTAGTTTTTGCAACAAGGGCACTAATGATTAAGGAATCATGTACGATGTGATTTAGTGGCACACATGAAGAAAGACGTTGGTAGGTACTGTCCAGCCCCAACCGTAAACTGGTTCTCGTGAGATTCTGAGTTGGCGTGTTGATCTATTGTTTGCTGCATACTTCTTAATCTGAATGGCAGTTCCAAATTTGACCTTACCTGATAGATATATGTAGGAGTGTATGATCCGTTTTTGATTATCCCTCTTTGGACTGTCGTGCTGCAATGGCTACCGTAAATTTATCATTCAGTGGGTTTCCTTGTTGGGTTATCTTCTTGAGCACCGGTTGCAATGACTTATTGTTTGTTTGTCTTCTTCTGAACGGCTGCTGCAGATACGGCTCTGACTGCTGCAGAGGTGTAATGGTCTGTTGGTTTTGTCGTTCTGCTTTTCGTGAACTGCTGCAGTGATATACGGCTTCCTTCTTGTGCTGACCCCTGCTGCAGATACGACCGGCACAGACACTCCAAGGTGGCAGAGTACGGCTTCGGCGGGGGGTTGATTTGCCGCTCTGCAGCCATAGCGCAGAAGGTGAACATTGCGGCACAGACATTCTGTAGCTGATAATAATTGGGCGCGCCGCAGGTCTTCCGTGGAACAGCATACCAGCGATGTTGCATGTTTTCGTGCGGAACAGCGGGATAATACAGTTGGGATGAAATAATACCTTTTAGAGTAACGAACAGCAATATACGTGCATGCCTTGTTCCGGGCAGAAACAATAGTAGTTGGAGCAAGTAGCGAACTTTTGAGCAGAAACAGGTCATCATAGATGACGAGGTAGGAAGTGTAGGTTTACATAGCTAGTTGCGAGCGAAATTATCCAGAAACGTGATTTACTGCGATATTCAGCTTTAGATTTGGGGGACAACAAAAGCATTAAAATTCTCGAAACCACAGCTGCCGGATAACTTTCCTTCAGGGGTGTCTTGTCTAGCATTGCCACAAATGTTGAATGTTCAGGATACAGGGTGTCGTCATATTTTGTCGTATTGCATCGTTGCCTTTTGGGGTTTTCTGCCTGTTGTATAGTGTGTGCGTGGTTGTGCTGCATGTTTCGTTTGTTTTTGATTCGGTCTGCTTCAGATCACCTATCAGAAGAACTACCGCCTCGCCTTCCCTACTGCCACCCCAGACGGCGATGTCTACCAGACAGGCGGCGTCATGTCCGGGGGAAGTGTGCAGGGTTTGCGGCAAACGATGCTGGTGTTCAAGGTCTGTTGGACAGACGATAATTAAATTAGCGGATTAGGGTTTGGGATTTAGGGTTAACGTTCTAGGATTTCGGCATTAGGGCTTCCTGTGGGATACTGAATGCTTGCTGAGTCGGAAAAAGGTTGCAGAGCTCCAGCGCGTCGCTGGAAACTTCAGAAGAGGTTTCGGTCGAAGGCAACGCAGAAGCAGCAATATCTCATGCGGAGAGGCAGGCAGACAGATAGCTAGAGTAGCGATGGCTTCAATGCCACCCCTCAAGCGCCATACTTAATCCTTGTATGTGATGCAACCATTTGCGTGCAGCGCTACAAAGATGCAACAACAGCGGCAGAAGAGGCCGCGAATCGCATCAGGTAGGTGATTCCCCCCACATAAAAGACACAATTTAGGGGCTTATTGCTGCCATTAATTGATTTACTAAAGTCATTACATGACGTATGCCATGTTTGATTTATTAAAGCGATTATTTGCCCTATTAATGCTATTCTTCGGCTTACAAGCCCCATCGTGTTGCGATATTGTTGCTATTATTGGGTGATTGCTGATATCATTCGATATATTGCTGTTGCTAACTGACCAGTCAACACATAAATTCAACTACTCAATTTTGAAAGAGGCTTGGTTGCTGTCCTCAGGGCGGTAGAAGCCGAGTTGTCCCCCCTTCAGTCGCGGGCTCAGCAAGCTGCGGGTCTTCAGAAGTCTCTGCGTCTGGCAGAGAACCAACTGCAGAACACAGAGGTCTTTCGGTGTTTGTTTGTTCGTTGAGCTCATGTATATGCATTTATTGCTTGACGCGTGTGCTAGCGTTTATCCCCTTAGTCCTGTAATGCGTGTAGTGCAAGTAACATTCTGCCCATTGTGGTGCTTTGAGGGATTGCTTGCATGCATTGTATACTTCACGATGCCAAGTAATGGATCAGCCAGGAACATTATATAGTACCCCAGTTGCATGTCATTTATTGTTCCCCTTCCCCACGCCAAAACGATTCGAAGATAGCGTAATCTTCTCCCTGTCAGCAGATTCTGTTTCTGTTTACAGCGCCTGCTAGGCAGCAGCGGCACGGGCTGCAGCCGCGCCCGTGTAGAGGAGCTCCAGAAGCTCGTGGTGGAGAAACAGCAGATAAAGAACGATGTGCAGCAAAAGCAAAAAGAAATTCAAAAGGAGATAAAAAAGCTTGAGGCAGAGATTTACGACCTGGAGACCAACAAAGACAAAATCGTAGGACCTCCAAAAATTGTTGCTCCAGTTTCCAGTGTTTAGTTTTTAGGATTCCAGTTCAGCGTGTGGGGATCGGGGACTATAGATTAATACTACGCTTTAGATGCAAGGAGTTAGGGTTTACATTTAGGATGTATACTCTAGGAGAAGGCTCCACAGTGTCCGAGGGTGCTCTGGTCTAGGCTTTCTTTTGTTGGGTTGAGGGTTCGTTGTTGTTAGGGTTCCTTTTTCTGTCGATTTGACTTCAGGAGGCCTCCCTCAGTAAAACGGTGAAGGCTCTCCGAGCTCAGCTGAAGCAGGCAGAGTCCCAACTAGAGAAGCTGCAAGCCGTAAGGATCTGTGTCCTACTGCTGTTGCTACTGCTGCTGTAGCGTCTGCTGCTTCTGCTGCTGCCGCTACTAGTGCTGGTTGGGTTTGGCTTACACAGCAGAACGAAGACAGGCAAACACGAGGGCGTAAGGTTATGCTGTGCTGTTGCTGTTTTTGATGTTACTGCCTCTACTGCCGCAGAAGACCGGCGATGTGCGGTTGCAGTTGCAGACGATGCAGCAGGAATTAGAAGGGGCCCGCAGCGACTTGGCATCTCGGGTTGAGAAGGTGGAGCAGCAGCAGCAGCAAATGAACACAAAAAAAGCAGCACTGCAAGAGAAAGTAAGAAAGGGACTTCTTTGATACTTAGCAGCCCAATGTGAAGAAGCAAGCAAAGCGCAGGTTCTCTGAAGGAAGTAGAATATCCCTGTTGTTTGTCTACTGCAAAAGCAACAAAGAGGATATGTGCCTATATGTGACTCTTGTGAAGGCGTATAGAAGTAGCATCTCATGCATTTCTTCTGTAGTACTTGTTTGGTTATGCTCGCACTCGTCAGAGCACCTGCCGGCTCTGAGAAGGGCTCTACTCTGGCTTGTTCCTAACTCTACACCTTAACCCGCAAACCTTAGAACATACATATACGCCACAACCCTAAACCATGTACCCTCTAGCGAACGTTTTGTGCATTTGCACTGTAAACAAGGCAGCCTCAAGGCTGTTTGCTTGGATTTACGTTCAAAGCTGGTTCTTGCTACTGCTGCTGCTTCTGTTGTGTTTGTTCGTGTTGTTGCTTTTCTTTAGATATCGGAACAGAAAGCCATTGAAGCAGAAATTGCAGAGCAGATGAAAGAAGCACAGAAGGAGAATCAGCAACAGCACCGAGTAGCGGAGGCGTTGAAGAAAACAGCAAAAATGAAGGAGGCAAAATCTCTTGAACTCAAAAAGGTGCTCAAGGAGCTCCAGCCAAACCGCAGCTTCAGAGCAGTCAAACCCTAAACCCTAAACAGAGACTGCTATCTGGGTTTTTTGTTGAGCATTCTTGCTTTGGGGTTTGGATTGGAGAGCAGCTGTATCTATAGAACATAGCCAAACAGCAAATGCCGTTTCTTTACAGAAACTACTAGATGGTGAATATTTATATAGGCGGTTGCATTGTACCATTGATTTGTATGGGCTCTGTTCGGTATGAATGCACGTCAACTGCCACTGGTTCATCTGTATATATGTTTACTAGTTTTTGTGTATTATTTTCGTTTAGCTTTTTACAGAGGTAGTTGTCTGTTCGTTTGCTTGTTTATTTGGTTTTTGCTGTTCTTAACAGCTCGACCTTGCAGCAGCCGACAGGGAGAAGATGTTGTCTGCAGCACGAGCAGTATGTCTTCCTAGAGAAGGTTTTAGGAATTCTCCTGTAGAGGAGATTTTGCATTTTCTTCTGCCCCTCAAGCTTTATTTTTTCGGCTGTGTTATCAACGTCCCTCATGCCATACAACCCATACACGTGGATACTTGGGCAATATATGTGCTGCATATATATATATATATATATATATATATATATATATATA